AAATACTACAATATATTCGTGGACAAAACATTATGTTATTTTATTAAAAATACTTCACTAAGAAATATGACTTTTTGTATGTGTAATATTAACTGAAAGACTGCCAAATTTCGTGAAGATATACCAAATATAAAGAGTTATAAGTATTAAATTAATGTCAACTTTAAACGAGTACAGAAGGTCACGTGACTCGGGCAAATCGACCGACCCCATTGTGGAAGAGATGTCGTCTTCGTAAGACAATATCAACGTTTTCTGGTGGGTGTAGATTTCGCGAAAGCTACTCGAGGGATCTGAGCTATTCATTCCTAATTTTGAGAAGAAAAGTGTGTTTGTTTGTAATTTAAGCACAAAGGGATATCTGTGCTCTGCCCATCATGGATATCGAAACTCGGATTCTAGCGTTGTAAGTCCGCATACATACCGCCGTGCCAGTGGGGGCAGATGAAATGTAGGTAGCCAAAATCACATATACCAACTTTTGACTACTCTGTACTAACGAATAGTGGTATTAACGGTCACTATATAACGTCCCCACGACTGACAAGCGAGTATATTTGGGGTCGGGTTTCGACTCCACATTATTGAGATTCATAATCAAGCTATCCTTTTATGCAATTTTTTGCGACCAAATTCATTATTATTTGCACAAGTTCATTTAGAAAAAAAAAGCGATCTTGAAATCATTCAGTAATATCCATCGATTGGGATGAGATAGAACGGGTTTCGTGTTTAGATAATTCAGTAGTAGGATAAGCAACGTCAATGGCCAATCGTTTCATCTGGTGATTACTGAAGAAACGCCACATGACTGGATCTTTGTGCATTATCACTGGTGTAAATGTCCAAATTGGTGTTATAGAAAAAAAAAGCAGATTTGGTTTCATGTGGTTACAGTTCAGCGTTTTAATCATAGCTCAAATGTCACTGGTAATGATTTTTATAACATTCGCGCATACATCTAAATGTTTTGTTACTCGTACTTCTTTTTTGAAAATCAACCATTATTGATTGTATGTTTTCTTTAGAGCAAGCCAGATTGGGTTGTTTACTGTGTCCACCACAGGGAATCGAACCCCAGGTTTTAACGTTGCAAGTCCGTAAGCTTGCTGCTATCTCACCAGGGAGACACCATTATTGCACCTTCAAGTCTGATATATCTTAATTATTCCATAATTTTGAATAATAAATTTATAAAGAAGTTAGATTGTAATATCAAGATATTTCTGCGTACGTGATTTTCTTTTCCTAATGACAGTATCTCAAAAATATAGCGTAAAATACAACAAATACAATTAAACGGTGTGTGTGTGAGAGAGAGAAAAAATCCATTCGTGTTTCAAGTTTTGGTGTAATTAACAATTTACCACAACTATTACGAATACTACATAAAATGACATCTTTTTTCCTGATAAAACAAACTTTTATTTTCCATTTCAAATGAAAGAAAAGAGAAATCCATTATTTTTTAATAGGCCATTTTTTACATCTAAACGTACAATAACGACAGGTTTCGCTTTAACGATAAGAAAATTTATAATAATGCGTGAAGTGAGCATTTAGAGAATTCAAGGCAGTCTGGAAAATGGCATTACAAGATACATTTATTTACACGGTGACAGCCTCGAACTAGCATCATACAAGCATGTATAATGTACAGAGGTTTTTTTTCTCTTTTTTTTTATCAAGAAGGATCAAAGTGCACGAATATAAGAAACGGTGTAAAATTCGATCGAGTTGGTTTACAATCTAGCTAAGCTAATCAATGGTGCTAAATATGTTCTGAGTGAAATATTTATAATGATTTGGTAAAAAAAAAATATATATTTCATTACATTCAGAAGTGTCATATTTCTGGAAATCACACCAATTTTCATACATTCTCGATAAAAGAATAAAATTCTGGGCTATTTCAGTAGCTAACTAAACACGTTTCCATCGTAAGTGCATGAGTCAGTGTTATCTGTTATCACAACCTCTTACTACCATACCAAATTTCAATACAATAACATATACTATTAGTGTCCTTTGTCGACAAATGTTCATAAACATAAAATTATTTTGTTCTACTTTCTCCAGACGTTTATATATTTATACAAAATCCATATCTTTTAAGCCAACAGTTTAGTATATAAAACACAAATCAAAGGCTAGTAATAAATGAGAACTATTTCATCCAATATATACAAATAATTAATTAAATAAATTTTCTTCACAAGCTCACAACCGTTAACACAAGTAGCCAAAGGCGTTACTTTAACTAGAATTTGAAAACATTAAAATATTCGTAAATATATGGTTGTCATATTGTCGTTCTTCTTTACTTTCATTTATCAGTTCTTCGAAACATAATGACATCAATATAACAAACTAAACACTTCATAGTTTACTTAAAATATAATAAAAATTCGTTCCTGATTATAAACGTTTACTTGTAACTTACTTTACTTACTAATTATAAGTATTGATTTAATACAAGTTACAGATTTTACAGTGAGAAAGAACATTTTAGAACGGGTACGACGTTTCGATCACTGGAGCGATCATTCTCAAGTTCTTGTTCGAAACGTCTTACCCGTTCTAAAAATGTTCTTCCTTACTGTAAAAGTTGTAACTTGTTATAAAACAATATTCACGTGCATTGATTTGCATAACTATTTTAATGTCATTCTAATTTAAAACAAAATATATTATGTGCAATGTAATAGCGAACTGATGCGATACAAGCACTGTTTACTATTTGTAATAATTTTAAAGGTGAAAACAATATGGGCCTAACTAACATCTCTTCTATAAAAGGTTTCGAATCTGTTGAAAACGGAATTCTGTACAAGCATTATAAGTATTATTTAAATTTCCCAAATCAACACATCATATTTCTAAGCATAAAACGTTATATGAAAAGCCGATTTATTTACAATTATAATTTATTTTTCATTAAGTATACTAACGGTTATTAACATTAATGACATCGGCGAATAGTGAGAAATGGAAACTAAAGTTTTAAAATAATTCGTAAACTTTTGTTGTAAAATTTAATTTTTGAATAATATTTGTATTTTTGTTTAACCATGCATACTGATTAATTTGTTCCTCAAAGCTAGTTTACGATACGCATAATATTTCAAAGTACTTATTATCTAGTAGTACTATGAAAACGTTAATACTAAACTATAAATCATATTCATTTTAGCTTGTAATTCCACAACCAAGAGCACATCATTTCCCAATCGTCGAGTGGGGCAAAGGAAAATCCCTCAATCTTCGAGCACCCTCGATGATTAATTAATTTTTAAAAATAATTAATTTTAATAGAAATACTTGCCAGTAGTTTGAGTAAGGCGGCCAAGTAAATCATACAGTTAAATTTCTTCCTTTTTATCAAAATTAGGAAAAATATAGGCATAATTTGGCACATAGTGGTGCCAAGTAGGCTAAAATTAGGCTTAATGTGTAGGTCACTAGCTTTTAACACATTGGTCTTCAAGTGTACTGGACAACTGTCAAATTTAAATTATTCTACAATAAATATTCAAAAGTGCTGAATATAAAACATTCGATAGAACTACTATAGTTATAATACAATATACATACGTTAGCGTATTTTAAGAATTAACTTCTTCCTCTGTATCGTGACGATACGTTCAGTTGCTTCAATATTTTCCAACTAAGTCAAACATTATACCTATAAGATATCTAACATTAATAGTAAAATAAATTGGGGGGCATAGCATGCTAAGAGATCAATATTTTCCAACTAAGTCAAACATTATACATGTAAGATATCTAACATTAATAGTAAAATAAATTGGGGGGCATAGCATGCTAAGTAAGAGAAATTTGAAGTCTAATATTATTTATAAATGTGCAAAGTATAGAAAAAAATCGTGATTTATGTTGTTCTTTTAATTGAAGATTATAAAAAAGATTGTTACCCTAATATAAAAATATTTATACAGCAGCTTGAGAAGAGAATTAAACTAAAATTAAAAACAAATTTATACGTTTGTTAGAACAGAAATGTGTTTTAAAAAGCCTCTTGAAGACAAACACAAACTTTCAGTATTGGGAAATGTACATGTAGAAAAAGCCATAAGTTTACAATACATAATTTGTAATAAGAAGCTAAAGACATGAAAATATGCTATTTAGATAGATTTTTTTAGAGCAAAACTTTTAAAATCAGTTGAAATATTTAACTTTAATCAGCTTTCTATTTGAATCATTCTACTTGTTTCAACCTTATAATATTGACACTTATCTCTGAATCAAAATATGTAGAAAAATTTAGATATATAATACACATGTAACAGGAGTGAAAAAAAAACACAAAAAGTGCATTCTGGGAAATATATATATATGTTGTGACCACAATTATTCTTTACCTAATGAACATGAAACAAAGGTGTTCTTTATACTAATAATCAGACTGTAAAAATCAATCTTTATAATAATAATTGGAGATCTAAGTTATTCTTTAAAGCAGTTGTCAGAAACCAGTTATCTTTTAACTAACAATTAGATACCAAACCTATATCTTCATAGAAATAACCAAAGACCAAAATAATGTTTCAAATTAACAGTTAAGACAAGTAACTCAGTATTCTATATAGTTATATTGAATGTTACTGGAATATAGAGGCAGCTTTACTGTGTTCTATACTTTTCTAACTAACATTTTATACTTTTGAACCCTTAGAAAAATGTGATGAATAAAAACAGTATTTTTGAAAATACATTGAAAAAAGATTTAGTGTATATTGTACTTTATCTGCTAAAACAAACTCAGCAGCCCTTCAATTGGTGCAAAAACAATACATTCTACTTCAGACTTTCCTCATTTTGCTAAAGTTTTTATTCAGATTTATATCATAAAGGCAGCTGGGGCAGTAAATCCCACATTTAAACAGTCTTGAAAATGTGCAGTATACATTCAATTCTACAGTGCAACGTGAAAAATGTGTGAAAGATGTTTACCCTAGAAATAACACGAGTTTCCTGGGGGTTACACTAAGATATTGTACTGATTAAAAGTTCTAAGAAGATTGAACTTACAAAGAATAGCATCTGAAAATTTTAAGAACTTACAAATTAAAAAAAAAAGATGATGTAAATGTATAATCTATAATGTGTGCACAGGAATCTATTCCACAAGCATCCAATACTCCAATAACATTTGTTCGTGAATCCAGCCCGTTCAATTAACAGCCTCTATAAAACGTTACTTTCCAACCACTTACATCTAAATGTAACAGCTAACACTTATCCATACAACAAATACTGAACTTTTCCCACTAGACGAGGGATAACAAATGCAGCAAGTTAATCTGAATGAACGTGCACACACGTCACTGTACTATTCAAAATCTTCTGTCGCATCACCCTGCAAACCGAAAATTTCTTCAGTCTACTGTGTTTACAAATTTGATTTTTAACATAGGATTACCAATAATACTTTTCTTTCCAGCCGATTTATGAATTTTACAACGTTTTTCGTATATTAAAAGATTTTTTTCCACAAAAAAAAACTAGAAAAAGTTTTTAAAAAAATAGTTTTTATACATTTTGTTCTTATCAACCATTGATAAAAAAGAACAGTAATAACATGACAGTGTGAACGATAAAGAGAAAATAGGAAACTAACTAGCCACAGTACGTCCTAAGCAAAGTCTCAACAGTATTACACAAAGATTCTTAAATCAAACAAATGATACTACATGTGAACTCCCAAAATTTTTTTATCAGTCTCTAATGTTTTTCGAAAACAGAATTGAATGTCATGCGATATGACGAAACAAGTTTATTACACAGTGCTAGTTTCACTTACCTGATTTAAAATACATGACTAACAGACTTAAATTTTGTCAATTTTTTCTCAACCCCTATAGTACACCTGATACCTCTATCTTCAGTTCTATGCGAGACTATAAAACTATCAAGTTTAGAAATGTTCTACAGCTCGTACGTAATACAAGACACGTCGATTACATAATATCACACGCATGATTTTCACACTTTTCAATGCTATAAAATCATTTTTACTGCTACAACAAATTCCAGTACTTCAAAGACTGATGCATAAATAGCCAGAGTCTGGCCACGTCCGTAATGGTTCTGTTTGATGCATTATTGATCCTTGTGACACAGTGAACATCTCCAAAAAGATATGTAGAACTTGTAAAAGTTGTGGTAAGCCACAGAAATATTTACATAAAATTTAACTGGTGAAAGCATGCAGGAAGTAAAGGTTGAATAATATTTACATATCTTTTTAATAGTCTAAAGCATCAGTCAATAACTTATTTAATTTTTTCTTTTTTTATAAACTGTCAGATAGACAAAATCTAAAATTGTACTTCATATTAAGACAGCACAAGTACTATCTGTGTGGATATAGAAGAACAGCTGATCTTTAGTTAAACGAAAAACAATTTGGAAATAAACTATCAGAAAAGATATCAAGAAATGAAAACTCAAGGTATATGAAGTATAGAGAAACTTTAAAAAGTACTGTGATATATAAAAAAATGATAAGTTCGTCTATAAAGAAGTTATTATACTCCTAAATTAAAACAAGATTTTAATAAGAAATATGCAGATAACCAAAACGTTTTCTTATGTTCTGCTGCTCTAATCTGGTTTTAATTATCTTCCAAAAAAAGACAACAGCTGTAATTATTTACAGACTTTTAACGTTTAGTAGTAAGATAATCACTCACACTCAGTAAAATATTACCAAAAACTCTGCAATAAGCAGGTTTTTAAAAAATATATTTCATGAGAATGTCATATTTTCAATCCTATCACCAAGAAAAACAGTTAATAAATGACTGAAATCTTGTAACTTCAGTTGAGCTTCAACCTTCTACCAATATAACATTTGTTTGTCTACAAACAGTGTTCACACTAGTATTTTTAAAATAAAACATACAACATTAGTCACAAAAAAAACAAAAAAACTTTATAATCAAAGTACACTTTTTGAGTAAAATTCAGAAATTAAATAAGAATTGTGTGTGTTTTCTTTCTATTGTGGTTTGTTGACCAAAATCTTAAATCACAGAGCTTGTTTACTATAGATTTTGACTAGTTATATGTAAACAATTTAATACGAACACAGAAACTTCCAGTATTCCAACTATGTAATACTTCACCTTCCTGATAAAAGTTGCTTCAAGAGAAGTGGTAATATATATAGAAGCATTTTATATACATAACTACAGGATCCATGGGGCACAGCTCGAGTACATATGCATACTACTTCTCTGTCATTCCCAATTGTTGTAATTACAATTGTTATACACTACCTTCAAAAAGTTGGACGAATTTCTTCCATCAATTCAGCCATCCCCAACATCATTAGGTATGTGGAGAAAAACAAGAAAATATTTTGTGGAACCTAGTAAGTCAAATAGGAAAAAATAACATTTGAAAACATGGGTGAAAGGCAGTGACATCACATGCAAGTCATGTGTCTCACTGCATTAGTGACTGCTAGATCACATTAACTGTGTGTCCAGGGTATTTCTGCCCCCTGTGAGGGGAGTGGTAGTCTCTATTACCATGGTGACGGTGATGATGTTGTTCATAATCTCTTAAGTCACGCATTTCTCTCATTTCACTAGGTCGACTTTCACGCTCTTTCTCGTGCATCAGCATCCTATCATATTCATCATAATAGGGATCGTGTTCTCGTTCCCACTCACATTCTCTAGCATAATCTCGTTCCCTAGTATACTTTTGTTCCCTGAGATCCCGGTGGCCACTTTCATGAATATAGGGATCGTGATAATCGCTCCTGTGGCTTCCTGATGAGGGATGGGAATCTCTGAAATCTCTTGTACCATAATACTCAGGCTGTTGCTCTAGGTCTGGTGAAGACAGCTTTAATAAAAGATGGTTTACTTAGTTTTATTTAACCTAATACCTAGTTAGTACTACATGTAATTTTAATCAGGACACAACTTTAAATGAAATTAAAACATGGCTTTGAAATTTACAACAATGTTCTAAAAATTAAAACCAATGGTGCAAGAAACATTTAACAACATTTTCAATCGCTGAAATCCCCAAAATATGAAAACATTTCTTACTTGTGTACCAATATCGAGTATAGTCTTAAGGTATATATATACTAAGCTAACAATGCAAAACAATATTTATAATGAAAGTATAATAAAACCAGAAAAACATTCCAACCAATACTATTTATTAATAAAAGTAACTACAAAGAAAGGATATAGCACGCCTTACCTACAGAACATAAAAATCCTTGCATCAAGCCCTCCATAGTGACGAATGTCTACCACAACAGACACTCACACTTCAAAAGTTAACCTGTCACCAACATCCCCCCCTAACCCTAGCTGACTGGAGACAGACAATCATGTATTTGTGCTGGTTAAATCATTGCATATCTTTCGATAGCTGCATTCTCTGGAAACAGGTCCAATAAATAACACAGCAACACGTGTATAAACAATCAAAATTTATAGTGCATAATGGAAGGATTTACATATTTTGATAAAAAAGGTTAAAAAAACGATCTTTATAATTATAAAATAAACTTTTTATTTAAACCAACATTTGGCTTTGTGGCTTCATCATGGTTTTGTTTGTTTGTTTTTTGTAATTAAGCACAAAAGGCTATCTGTGCTCTGCCCACCACGGGTATCGAAACCCAGATTCTAGCTTTGTAAGTCAGCAGACATACTGCTGTGCCACTGGGGGGCGCTTCATCAGGGTTAGTATATACAACTGACAGATATTAGTATATTTTTTTAAATCAATCAACATAATGCAAAAAGCAGGTGAAACACCATTAGTTTACTCTTCATACTCACAAGCAAAATGTGCCAAAAAACAATGCTATGCAAGAGAAAATGGAGTAGGCCAAATGTGCCACATCAAATGCATAGTTTATCAAATCATTCGTAATATATGTAGAGACTCATATATAGGAGAAACCGGAAGACCTTTGCAGATGCGCATCTCAGAACACATCAGTGCATTATATACAACATAAAATCGCCCCAGCAGAACACTCTTTATACAAACATTGATCCCTAAACACAGAATATCAAAACCCATTTAAAGTTTCATCTTACAAAAAAACAAAGATTTTAAAGAGAGAGAAAACATATGGAAGCTATAATGTACTTCATTATAGAAAAAGTTGAGTTTTTCCCATTTGATGCTTGCATTATCTCATTTAATACTTTTTTTCTGCTCAATAGTTAATTTATTGATTTTTTTAAATTAACACTCAACTTGTTAATAAATAAAGTTAAATCTTCTGTAAAAGATGAAATGTAAAGGAGATAAACGTTGAGAAGGATCAGTAGTGGTAAGACTGAGAAAGGAAAGTTACAACAACCTTAGATATGGCGATGAAAGCAACAAACGAAACAACGTAACTTCACCAAAAAGTAATGTTATATTATACACCCGTTATAAAGCCAGTATTAACTATAATGAGAACTTAAACTAACAGGAAGAACATACTATATTATTTAATTTCTGTAGTGCATATTGGTGTAAAGAAGTCATTTCGCTTTACAACTTTTTCAGGAGCATTCCCCTAAAACACAAACCGAAACTGTTTACTATTACCCAAAAAACATCTCAAGGAATCAAAGTGTAGATGTGAAAGTTCTTAAGAGGTTACGCTACTCTATAAAACTTATAAACACAATCTTTAGGAAAGATATTGTTGAATTTTCCACAAAACTGGGTGAATTCTGTGTTTAATTTTCATAATGCAAACCTCAGTTATGAAAAACGTGAGCACATTTATGAGCTTTACCCAAAATCTATAGTATCTAATAAGCTGCAACCAGTTGGTTTGGTTTGTTTTGAATTTCCCGCAAAGCTACACGAGGGCTATCTGCGCTAGCCGTCCCTAATTTAGCAGTGTCATCACCGCCAACTCTTGGGTTACTCTTTTACCAACGAATAGTGGGATTGACCATCACATTATAATGCTCTCATGGCTGAAAGGGCGAGCATGTTTGGTGTGACGGGGAGATCAACTAGTTAATATCTGACTGTACACTTGACATATAGCTTCCATCACAGCAATGAAATACAGATAGAGAAGCTCTTCAATGCCGTGCTACACTAGGATGAAGTGATTTATAACTATACATACACAACTTTTCATATGCTTTCAAAACTAACCTTAATTGAATAAAGAGTATAAACTTACTTCTCCTGAAGGTCGTGAGCGTAATCTTTCGGTTTGTGTCCTATATCGCATCATTGGAGGTGTAGTGTTATATCGTGCCATACTGGTGCTCCCAACATTACTTTCCACCCTTGGGGTTTGTTTAGGTGGTGATATTGGTCGCTGTAAGTCAGAAGGAGGACTTTTGACGGGTGGGTGAGTAGCACGCCAATAAGTTTCGAGGTACTCGTAGAGATGTTCGCATGCTTCTTCCAACTGATTTTCATCGAGTATCACATCAAACATTTCCTGTTATAAAGATAACATATGTGAAAAAAATTGGGTAATAAAGTACAAACCTAAATATATTATACAGATGTACTAAAGGCAAGACAATATACATAGTTATTCATTAGCATCGACAAATGGAGTAACCGTAGTACTATAAAAAGTTTTAAGTTAAAGAGACACTTTATATTGCTAATAAACTAAGTCAGATTCTGGTTAATAATGGTTCTTATATGCATTATATAAAAAAGGTTCTTTGACATTCATTAAATATATGGCACAGAATAAACAAATCTTACAGAAATGTAATCTACTACATCTTACAAAATACTTGGTGAAATATTGTAGTTTCTTGACACTATCTTATTTATTAAATACAAGTCTCCTTTCTTGTTTGCATTAATGTGAAAATTAAAGCATTTTTTACTTGTCAAATTTTATGTTAAGCTACACTAGGGCTAACTGCTCTAGCCATCTTTAATTTTGAGGTGATATACTAGTAGGAAGACAGCTAGTTAACAACATCAACTGCCAACTTTAAAGCTACTCTTGTCACACCAAATGGTAGGATCTGTGACTTGTATAAAGCACCAACATGCAGAGTAAGATATAATGGGAGACACATAACAGTCCAGCAGGTTAACAACTGGATCACACTAAGCCTAAACATCTTTCGTTTTTGGGACACATGTGCTTTACTTCATAACTGTTGTGTGATCATTGTTTCACATCATTTACAGGATAAAGTCACCATTAGTCCTTACACATCTATACTTGTTTGTTTGTTATGAATTTCGTGCAAAGCTACAAGAGGGCTATCTGTGCTAGCCGTCCCTAATTTAGCAGTGTAAGACCGGAGGGAAGGCAGCTAGTCATCACCACCCACCGCCAACTCTTGGACTACTATTTTACCAACGAATAGTGGGATTGACCATTACATTATAATGCCCCCACGGCTGAAAGGGCGAGCATGTTTGATGGGACGGGGATTCGAACCCGCGACCCTGAGATTTCGAGTCGAGCGCCCTAACCACCTGACCATGCCGGGCCACACACACATCTATACTTCCATATTCATATATTTAATTAGTCAATTCTCCTACATTTATAATATATGTGCATAATAAACTCAGTAGAACATCCACAATATATTAGACCCCACCTCACCCCCAATAACTACAGCAGCACAGTAGTTATGGAAGAGAAAACACATGATTTTTATATATTACGTACTTCATTTTCATACATATTATA